GGACTACAGAGCCAAGCTCTCCCAGATCCGGCAGATCTACCACACGGAGCTGGAGAAGTACGAGCAGGTAACAGGCTCATTCGCGCCGGGCGCCGCCGGAGCAGCCCCGGGGGAGCCCAGCCTGGGATGCTGCTGACATCCGTGTCTAAGAACGCGTGAGCAAGCGGGAGCGCTGGCTCTGCAAGGAAGGCACCAGGCTTTCAGCGTCAGGACTGGGTTGCTATTCCGGCCCGTGCCGTGCCAACCAGCTCAGCATTTATTGCCCCTTTTATTTGCATTGCTCCTTGCCTCACGTTTGGCCCGAAGTCGGCCCCTGCACAAGGGGACGTCTTTGTGAGCCGCTTGCTTTGCGACAGGCGGGTCTTCAGGGCAAGCGGATGCGGTGCTTGAAGCAGAGTCTTCCTTGAATATTTCTTCTGCCTGAAAAGTCAATTTTCCAGAAGGAAAAGAAAAAAATTTAAAAGTGCAGCTTTTTTTTTCTCCTGTGGAAAATAGTTATTTAAAAAAAAAAGAATTTGAGTCATGAACGCAGCTATTAGTAATACTGACAGTTGTATGAGAAGCTTTGCAGACCAAACTCCAAAATTGGTGTCTTTCACATGGATTTGGACCCAGATGTTCTGCAGACCTCTCTCCTCTACCTCGAGACTCGCCATCATGAGGAATGTGGTTTCAGCCCTGTGGTTTTTGCTTCACAGAGCGTGAGCAAGAACGTATCCCTCCTCTTGGAGGAATCAGCTCCATCCTTTGCTAATGCACCTGGGGCTGTGACCCAAGGGTGGCCGTGGGGTCCTGGTGCCGGGTAGTTTTGCCTGGATTACTCTGTACCAGCAGAGTCTCTGGGTATGTCTCTGGGTATCTACTTGCCCGGCTAAGGCTGCTGGGCAGGATCTTCCAGTAGGAATCCAGAGAATGTCCTTTATCACAGAAAGGTTTCGTTGTTGTTTTGTTTTTCCCCTTTTCCTTCTGCCTCATTTTTTCCCCCTCAAAAAAGACCCACAGCTGAGAGAAGTGTTTCCCACCAGCCCCTTTGGGTGTGATAGGGCCACCTCTTGCCTGCTCTAATCCCACGGCTCAGCCAGAGCTTTACCCCTGGCTTGGTCGTTCTCACAACCCGCGTAGGTTGTCACTTTCACTGCAAAGATGCTTTCCAAATGGACGTGTCAGACCACATTTTTACAGCTGTGGCAGAGCTGGCGCTGTCACCTGCCCCCCTGCAGTGCTTCTGCAAAGCCAGGGTTCAGATGTGGTTTCTGACCCATGTGCCCTGTTTCTTGTCCTGTTGGCAGGGCTTTCGGAGCCGGCTACCGTGGCTGGCTGCGGGGATCGCAGCGCCCGGCTTCACACGGTGTCTGGCCGTTGCTGTGACAGCACGGCTCCCTCCTGCAATTTTGCCTTTAATGCTCTTATTTCACGCGAAGAGGAGACAAGCTGAAATTGCTCAGGCGTCTGGGAGCAAAGAGTCGCCCGTCTTTGAGCTCTAGTAAGCGCCGCTCAGCCGGCGTCCTCTGCCTGGGGGAGATCGGAGCTGTCAATTGAAGCTGATGATGGGCAATTTGTGGGGCTCTGCTGGCCTAGTGACATCTCCCTGTTGGGTCTGAGCTGTAGAGGTGTGTGTAGGGACTTGTCACCTCCTGGACAGGTCCCCAGCAGGCTCTGGGGACAATGAACCGAGCGGGAGAAGCTGCTGGGAAGCTTGGAAGTGTGCTACATGAAAGGCACAAAGTCACGTCTCTGTCATCAGTTTGCAGAGTCGTTGGCGGTGCTTGCTAGCAATGTGATGTTCTGGGGAGCCTTCTCCAGCCTGCAGGCGGTTTTCCCTTTTCATCCTGTCCTAGGACAGGCGGTTGGGCTGGGAAAGTTGCCTTTTATCCGGAGTCAGAATCCCTCCTTTGCCCTCTGCTTGCCCTGCCCTGGCAGAGCAGCAAGGAGGCAGCAGGAGCAGCGGGACAGAGCTGTGCCAGCAGAAAGCTAATTTGGGTTATTACCTGCTTGCCCTTTCCTGTCAGGGCTCCTGCCTCATTCGGGCGTTAATTATTGTCGTTATTTACTTCTTAACAGATGTGTTAAAAGCCCTGAGGTGGCCTGTGTCTCTGGGCTCAGCAGGCAGCCGGTGCTGGGGTCTGCCTGGGGCAGCGGGAGGAAAGATGAAGGATTAGAAGGTTCATGGTTCTCCTCAAATACATCCCGAACTCCTCCAGAAAAGCAGCACGAAGACTGGGATTTCTGCAGGCTTCACATGGGTCCTAGGGTTTCATTTAGGCTGGCTCCATCCATGACTCCTAAAAGCAAGGAAATTGTCAGCTTCTTTCCCTCAGTGTGTTTGGGAGTCTTTTGTGCCCTCTGCCTTGCAGGCAAGATAAATTTATCTCTCTCCAGAGAGCCACCACATCGTTGTGTGGGGTCTGCCCTGGCAAACCCTGGCCTCACAACTCGGCCATGGTCCCTCCTCGGCTATGTTGCTTCTGTACTGTCCTTGACGTCGTCGAATGACCTTCCGATCCTGGGGTTTCTTTTGCTTTTCTTGCCATCCCAGGCATGCAATGAATTCACCACCCACGTGATGAACCTGCTGCGTGAACAGAGCCGGACCCGGCCGATCTCGCCGAAGGAGATCGAGCGAATGGTGAGCATCATCCACCGCAAGTTCAGCTCCATCCAGATGCAGCTGAAGCAAAGCACGTGTGAAGCTGTCATGATCTTGCGCTCCCGATTTCTGGACGCGCGGTAAGTGCTGTCCTTCAAACTCCCCTGCCCACCTACCGTCTCTGCCGTACCGAATCACAGCAGAAGGTTTCCATGTTCTCTTTTGGAAAGATGAGATGGGTCTGGGGTGTTGGGTTTTGTAGATGAAGAGGCCCAGCCTAGCAGGGGAGGTGCGAACAGCAGTACAAGACACTCAGAACTTGTGTCTCCGGGAGGATCCCAGCTGTAGCCTGGGAATTGCATATTGATTTTGCTGTGGTGAAAGAAAATTCTGGGACCTATCACAACAAATCTCTGCGGTCAAGATGTGCACGTCAGTTGGGGATGAAAGCTAATCCTCCAGCCCATCCTGTTCCCTCTAGTTTCCTGTACTTTTCCTTCCGTTTTCTTTGTCCCAATTTTTCATCATGCTGCAGAATTGTTTTCACTTCCCAAGCCAGTTACATACTGGAAGTCAGAAGGCTTGGGCTGTGGCTTGGAATGAGGAGGAGAGGCAGCTATGATTTGGGGGCACTTGGGAGGAGGTAACAGATGGCTGGTGTCTAGCTGTAAATGGAACAAACCTCACCAGGTTTACATCCGTCACAGCTTTTTTCACCCAGACCTTTGTAGAGTAGTACTGACATCTTCAGCCAGGACAACCAGACTTCCCAGGTGTAGGGGCTAGTTGCCAGTTTTAACATTTCTGTGAGCTGGAAAATGCAGCGATAATTTGAGAAAGCCGCTTATTTGCTCTGGAAGGTGCCGAGAACAGAGTTGCTGACAAGGTCCAGATGAGAGGTTTCCTAACCGTGAGTCTATTGCACAGCATGCTCCCAGGAGCAGGGAAGGGAGCGAGGGAAGTGAGGAAGGTCAGAGAGTATCAAAATTGCATTTCTGTGTCTGCATCCCTGGCACTGATTCCCTTTTCTTTTTGTTCTGTTTTTTGATCTTTCTTTCATGCCAAGGCGGAAGAGACGAAACTTCAACAAACAGGCTACGGAAATCCTGAATGAGTATTTCTATTCCCATCTCAGCAACCCATACCCCAGTGAGGAAGCCAAAGAAGAGCTAGCCAAGAAATGCGGCATCACAGTCTCACAGGTAAGAGCCCAGGCGTGCAGCGAAGAGGGCTGCCGCTGGCAGGTAACGTGGGCATTTGGAAGGACAGCCCAGCCCTCAGTGAAGTGAGTTTTTTCCTAGTGCTGACTATTTAATTACCAAATGAGTGCGTGGTTTAGAGCAAGGTAGTTTAATAGAACAGAAGACAGACGTGCAGGATGGAGCTATGGCTAAGAAGAATTTTGGAGAGGTCTCGGAAGGGCTTAATGAACAATGGCTGGGCATAGAGCCAAGGTGTTAGCCGCATAGGAACGATGTGCTGGGACGCAGAGCGATGCAGATGCAAGTTTCTGGGTTTGCTGAGGCTAGGTGGGAGTATGGGACACACGAG